CTTGTTTTCCATTTACAGATGAAGTTAATGAATTATGACAGTTACCATAGTTAAGGTGTAAAGTGCCTTTACGGTACATAGATGTGGTCAGCCTGGAAGACACTATGCTAAGTGAAGAAAGCTAGTCATTGAGGTTGTCTGTTGCATGATTCCTGTATGCAGAACAGGCAACTCTATCAGAAAATCCAGATATGGAAGTCACACTAGATCCTGCCTCAAAGGACAGGATGTGATTACTTAATGTATATGGAGTGTTTTGAGGAGATAAAAAAGATTTGAAAGTAAAAAGAGCCTTTTGGTTACACAGCATAAATATGCTTAAATACCACTGAATTGTACATGGTAAAGCAGCCAATTGTATGTGAAATGAATTGCGCTTTAATTTTAAAAGGGCTTAGGAAGTGTATTCATCTTTTGTATTTCTCAGAGGCGAAGGTATGAAAATGTAAACAGTGCCAATTCCAGGGAAGGGTGACTGTTTTTGGTGTGACCACATGTTGTGTCCATAGTCACTGATAACTTGTCCTTGTGCTTGGTAGAACCTATTTGTTTGCACTTCTGGAGAGTGAGTCTTGCTTTGGTAGGCAAACGCTCTACCACAGAGCCTCAGGTTCAGCCCTCAGAACTTAGGTTAATGCAAAGTATTTTTATCTGAATATATTGCAGTATCTATTAAGATAGAAAACATCCTGTATGTTTTGTTTTGTTTGAGTCAGGGTCTCACCTTGTAGCCCATACTGATCTAGAGATTACTCTATAGCTCAGGTTGGTTCCAAACTCAAAATCCTCCTGCCCATGCTTTCCAGGTACTGCAATTACAGATGTGGTGTCATGACACTCAACACATTTTATAGAGTGTTGTTTTCGAGGGAAATGCATAGGCTCATTCATTCTTAGGAGCTCAGGACAGACTTAGTTGCCATGAAATTATCACAGCTGATGGCAGGCCAAAAAGAAAGAATTCTTCATTTTTGGAAATAGGATATCATTTATCCTGGGCTGGCTGTGAACTCCTCAGTTCAGGAATTACAGATATGTGCTACTACACACATCTCAAAAAAGATTTTTACTGAACCAACATTTAAAATTCTGTGCATTCAGGGCTGGAGAGATGGGTCAGTGGTTAAGAGAATTACATCCCTGTATTATGTCAGACAGCTCATGATCACCAGGAACTTCACCTCAGGGGATCCAGCATCCTCTGAACTCCAGTTTGTTGGAATCTGACACCCCCTATCAGATAATTGTCCAGGTAGATATCTGTATAGGTAGCTATGTACATGTGGTACACATAAACTTAGACACATACATACATAGACAAAAAAAAATGCTTTAAAATTGTGCATTCTCGTTTTCCTGAGAATTGTTCTATTGTGCTACTGTTTATTTCTTTAGGGTAACATGATTAAAACCAGAGCCACCCTTGTGGGCTCTAATACCAAGTGTTGCCCCCAAGTTCCTAAATGAAATTCATATAATAATGGAGATTTCAGCCATCAAGGCATAGCTTCTGGGAGTCCCAACAAATCATGTCCAGAAAGTCCAGAAAATGTAATGCTGAAAGGCCAGAAAAGAGTTTATTCACTGGGAAAAGAGGGATCAAGCTTCCTCGTCCCACCTTGGCAGGTACCAGCAGTAGCCTTAGGTTCACATGTTACAGGTGAAGAATATGGATATGGGTGTGAGGTCTGTGTAGCTAGTCTTGGTCAGACCATGCCTGGTTCTGTCGGGCTCCTGCACTCTGGGAAGTTTTATTGCTTGGGCAGGCAATTTCCTGCTTAGCTTAATGGGTGGAGAGACAGCCTTGTTTTGAGATGATCTGTCTGTGTCACTGTTCTGGCAGGTGTAGAACTTTGCCTGGTGACTTCCAGTTGCCATTCCAGGGACTTGTAATTGTCCCAGCACTCTAGAAAATACTTTTGTTCCTCTGATCTTGGTGTCTTTAGCCAGGGTAGAGGAGGATTTAGATGAACCTTCCTTAAGTGATTAACTTGCAATTTGAACAAGAATCTGACTCAAAGTTTTCAAGTGTAAAGGAAACATACAACATGAAGGCAGAGTCACGGCATTTGTCTTGCTTTAGCCACTCACTGGACTGTGCTGGGGCCAAGTGAAGAGTCAGTGCTTTGTATCAAAAGCCTTCTTCCCTGTCTTAAGCCCGTCAAATTAACCATCTTAAAATGAGTGGTTCAGTAGCATTATAAATACATTGACAGTTCACAACTATCAGCTGTGTAGCACTTTCTATTTTATCTTTCCAAAAGGAACCTACACCCATTAACCGTTGTCTGTTACCACCCCTATCCTTAGCAGACACCAATTTGTATTTTGTTCTTCATACTCTAGACACTTCATATAATGGAATAATAAATTACGTGGCACGCCACTCCTGTTTAGGTTGTTGTTTCTGCAGTTGGGTTAGCACAGTTTGTTTACCATTCATTTGTTGATATGCATTTTGGCTTGTCTCATTTCTTAGCTGTGTGAATAGTACTTTTAGGAATGTGTGTGTGCATGTTTCTGATTGAGTCTCTTTTCATTTTCTTAGGCATGTACCTAGGAGTAGAATTGTTGGTTATGTGGTAATTCTTTTACTTTTCAGCCAGCATGTTTTTTATAGTGGCTGAACTGAACTACTTTACTTTCCTGGCATTGCCTGAGGTTGCTATTTCTGGCAACCTTGTCAGTATTGCATCTCCCCAACCCCTGTATTATTTTGAGAGTTAGTACCTCATTGTGGCTTGCTTTGCATTTCTCTAAATTATTAACGATGTTGAAGACCTTTTGTACATTGGTATTACAGCTGATTGGGTTTCTTCTTTGGGAAGTTTTCCATCTAAATCTTCTCTATTCTTTGTTTTTGAGTTGCGGGAGTTATAAATTTTAGATATTCTATCTTTAATAAATAATGCAAACATGTCTCCTAGTCTGTAAGCTCTCTTCTTTCCTCCACTCTCTGTATCCCTACTTTCTCTTCTTTGCTCCCCTCTTCCTTTCCTCCTTCCTCTCTCCTTATCCTTTCTTCTCCTCACCCTTCTGCCTCTCCTTCCTCCCCTCATCTTCCTCTTTCCCCTTTGTTTCTCCTTCTTATATTCTTCTTCTCTCTTTTTCTCCCCTCTCCTTTCCTATTCTCTTTCCTCTTCTCCTCCTTTCCCGTCTTCTCCCTTTGCCTGTTCTTACTTTCCTCCTCTTCCCATTTTCCTCTCCTCCCCTTCCCTCTGCTCTCCTCTCTTTTTTGTCCTTTTCTCTCCCTCTTCCCTTTTCCTCTCTCCCCTTAACCTCTTCCTAGTTTCTTTCTTTGCTTCCCTTTGCCTCACTATGTAGCCTAGGCTGACTTTGAACTCATGGTCCTCTTGCCTTCTTAGTGCTGGGATTAAAGGTACACCACCATGCTTGGTTTCCTTTCACTTGCTACAACTAATGTATTACATTCGTGAATTTTGATTAAGTCCTCTTGCTCTAGTTCTCTTTGTTTATGCTTTTATAGTTATATCTAAGAACCCATTGCCAAGTACAGTGTCATAGAAAATGAATTCTAGCCAGGTTCAGTAGCAAAACACACCTGTAATGCCAGCATTCAGGGAGGCAGAGGCAGGCAGATCTCTGAGTTCAAGGTCAGCCTGGTCTACAAAGTGAGTATTTGGCTTAATTTTATGTGTAAATCACTGATCCATTTTGAGTTAAGTTTTATCTACAGTATGCCCCACCTTTGCTCTTCCCATATGTAGACCTAATTTCCTGTGTATATGGGATTATTTTCCTTATCTCAGTTCTATTCATGCCAGTCACTTGTGGATTTTGTTTGTGTTTTGACATAGCCTCACTCTGTAGTCTCTGCTGGCCTGGAATTTGCTATGTACTCAAATTCATGGAAATCTGCTTGTCTCTGCCTCTGGGGTATTGGAACTGAAAGCATGTGCCATCACTCCTGAGTATATATTGATGGATTATCTCTGCTAATTCAAGCCAAATTAAAAGTATAAATGCAGGTTTATTGGGGGCAGCTCTTGGGTGGGTTCACCAACCTCATGGAGAGCGGTCAGTGAAGCTGCCATATAGAAGGAGCCAGAGAAGCCTGGAAGGGGTGGTGGTCATCTGCTTCTGGGCTGTAAAGTCAGGTTAGAGAGGCTAGTATACCAGTCACACCCTGTAACAGATAGGGACCGAGGAATGCTGGAGGTCAGGTTGGCTTTGGGTACCTTAGCTACTTGCCCTGAGTCTGAATCCCAACATATATATTTGAATATTTGTTTTTATATTATTTAATTTAATAATTGCTTTTGTATTGTTTAGTATATTTGAACATTTTTTATTTACTTATTAATGTATATGGGTGTTTTGCTTTCATGTATGTCTGTGTATCACATGTGTTTAGTGCCTATGGAGGCCAGAGAGGGTGGTAGATCCTCTGGGACTGGAGTTACAGCCAGTTGTGAGCTGGTTCTATCTGCTGGGGTCTGAAACTGGGTCCTCTAAAAGAGCAGCTAGGTGCTGTTAACCACTGAACCACCTCTCCAGCCCTTCCTTCCTTTCTTTATTTCTTCCTTCATTTCTTTCTTCCTCCCTCCCTCCTTCCCTCCCTCCCTCCTTCCTTCCTTCCTTCTTCCTTCCTTCCTTTCTTTTTCTTCCTTTCTTCCTTACTTCCTCTCTCCTTCCATTCCTCCCTCCCTTCCTCTCTTCCTCCCTCATATATCCCAGCTATCCTAGAATTTGCAGTGATCCTCCTGTCTCAGCTTTCCCAATGCTGGGATTTCAGGTTAAGCTCCTTTATCCTGGTTATACATTTTTGTTTGTTTTTCAGATGAGTCTCACTATGTAGTTCTAACTGCCCAGAACTTCCTATGTAGACCAGCCTGTCTCAGAATTCAGAGATTCACCTGCTTGCAGGTCTTCTGAATGCTGGGGTTGAAAGTGTGTTCCACCTTGCCCAGTTTTGACATGATTCTTGCCGTTTGCTTCTGTATGCGCTGAGATTCTTGTTTCTCTTCCTCTGACAACAGGATCGTGGAGTCGACAGCTCCATTTTTCAGAATCCCAAAAAGCTTCACTTAACTATTGGAATGTTGGTGCTTTTAAGTGAACAAGAGATCCAGCAGACATGTGAGATCCTGCAGCACTGTAAAGAGGAATTCATTAAGTAAGTAGCTGGCAGCAGTCGGAAGGGAGTCTTTTTCAGTATCAAAGTGGTTTTTGGATGAGAGAGCTAGATGAAATGGCAATCAGGTTTGTTGACTCACTCATTAAAGTATATGTAAGACCTAGTTATTTTATGGGTATGAGTGTTTTGCTTGCTTGTATGTATGTGTACCTTATATGTGCCTAGTGCCTACAAAGGTCAGAAGGTTTCAGGTCCCCTGGAACTGGAGTGATCCACCATGTAAGTGCTGGTAAACAAAGCTTGGTCCTCTGCAAGAGTAAGTGTTCTTACCCACCGAGCCATCTCTTCGGCCCTTATTCATTCATTTGTAGTACTTAACATTGGACTATCAACTGAAAGTTTGAAAATAGACTTAAAGCACTCATTTACACTTTTGAAATTGTACTTTTTATTTTTAAACAGTAAAAATAAAATTGTAAATTTTATTTTTAAACAGTATATCCCATTGTTTGGGTAGTGTATTGCTACAAATTCAGTGTCTTAAAACCATACACATTTATCATCTGATTTACCGTCTGTGGGTCAGGAGTTGGGAGGAAGGGCAGCCCAGTCACAGACTTATCTTTAAGTGAGAGAGCTGGATGACATGGAAATTTTATTGTTTGTTTATGTATGAAAAGTACAGACAAATATACCCATGCCATGACACACATGTGAAAGTCTCTTAACAGCTTGTTGGAGTAAGCTCTTCCCTTCCACTGTTTAGGTCCAGGGGTTAAACTCAGGTTCAGACTTGGCCACCAGTACTTTTATCTGCTGAACTATTTCACTGGTCAGTGTCAGAAGGTTTATATGGATTTCACTGGACTGAAATCAAAGTATTGTCAGAGCTGTGATTTTTTTTTTTTCTAGTTTTAAGAAAAAAATATTTATATTCTTGTCTTTAAAGTCTAGCTTATAGAGTTTTCCCACATTATTTATCTAGTGGCTTCTTTCTCCACCTTTAATTCTAGTATTGCATTTCTCTGTACCTTCAGTTGTCACCTCTATGACTGCAGTAGGAATAAGTTGTTGGCTTTTAAGGACTCTGACATGACTAGATCCATCTATATATAATCAAATTGATCTTTATTATCAAGGCTCATAACCAAGACATGGAGGATAGTGGAACCTTGTCTCTGAGAGGGTCTGCCACAGCAGCACTCCTTAGGAAAGAGGAACTCATGCTCCTGTTTCTCTCCTTCTTTCCCCCTTCCCATTTCTTCTCTCTCTCCTCTTCCTCAATCTCCTTTTCTAGTTATTTATGAATAACAAGGTCTTGCTGTGCTGTCTCAGTCACTTGCCTCAGCCTCATGAGTAGCTGGGGTTTTCTGTTGCCTAGGCTATTTTCAGATTCTGAGTTTCAAGTAAATCCACCAGCCTTAGCTGAGGCTGAGAAAGGAAGCTCATGGGCCATCTAGCTAAAGAATGCAATGATGAACAACGAGAGATCCTCACAGATGGTGGAAAACAAGGACTAACAGCTGAGGTGGTCCCACATAAGCACCATGGCATGTGTGTGCTCTATCTGTGTGTTTGTTTGTGTGTGTCTTTTTTTTTAAGCACATTATTATCTACAGGTACCATATTTTTTTTAACATGGCCATGTAGAAATGGGTCACCTGTCTCATTGGGTAGCACAAGGCAAAAGGATCTAAAGTTTTTTTCTGTGTTTCACATAAGATTCTAGTACATTGATTTGTTTGGGGCCAGTTACCCGTTTTCTTCTTTTTGCTCCTGTTCCTCTCCCTCCTCCTCCTCCTTTTCTTTTTTGAAATAGGGTCTCACTATGTAATCCTGGCTAGCCAGAAGCTCACTCTGTAGAATAGGCTGGCCTTAAACTCACAGAGATCCTCCTGCCTCTGCTTCTAGCTTTACTTCCTGAGTATTGGGGTTATAGTTGCGCATCACCACTCCTTGTCACTTATACTTTTTCTATTTGTTGCTTTTTTTTTTTTGAGACTGGGTCTTATGTAGCCCAGCCTTGCCTCTTCCATGAGACCTCCTACTTTAACCTCCTGAGTGCTAGGCACTTACTACCAGGCTCCACAAAATAAAATATTTTTGTTGAGCACAGCCAAGAACCTATTGAATTTAATAGCTGGCCTGTTGTGGCTCTTATCTTTTGCTCAGTGGTGAACATGGCTATTTTGTTTTAATTTTTGAGACAGGGTTTCTCTGTGTAGCCCTGGATGTGCTAGAACTCATTATTTAGATGAGGCTGGCCTCACAGAGATCCACCTGCCTCTGCCTTCCCAGTGTTGGGAAATTAAAGGTGTGCACTTCTATGTTTGTTGATTTATTTTTTTAAATCTTACTTAAAACTCAAAATAATTTGGAGCTCATCATTATATAGTTGCAGTTTTCTTTGTATAAAATAAAAATACTTAAAGGTCTCATACTTCAATATATTGCTAGTTCTCTTTCTGTTAAACTAAACTGAAAGTAGCTGCATTTTTCTGGCTGCCACTGGGATAATCTGCTAAGAAAAAAAATGTAGAGTTAGATAAAATATTTATGTATTGAACTATTTGTTCTTATCTTAAGAAAATCAGACTACAGATTTTAATCACTGAGTTTTAATCTTAAGTTCTGGGCAGACCTAGCTGAGCTCTTCCCTTTTGGGTATTTAGTGCCTTTGCCAAATTGGAGTCTGGATGATTGTCAGAGCCGGTGTGCACTGGGAATAAAGAACCTAAGACCCTGACATGACAGGATGAAAATGGTAATTGTAGTTTTTCAAATTCAGCAAAGCTCTTGAAATAGGACAAAGTTGCCCTGCCAAAAAACTGTCATACATGCAGAAAGATATTTGAAGATGCTGTTTTCAAAAAGCTGGGAAGATTTGAGACCAGCAAGTAAAACAAATCGAGCCTCCCCACTCTTCTACTGCCCTGCTGAGTGCGCTTTTTGAAAACATTTACAATTTGAACTCACGTGTGCGATTGTCAGATTAGGGTCAGACTCAGGTGTCTGCATGCCTAGACAAGACCAGTTTCCCAAATGCAAGAGACTTAACTTAAAGAAAATTGTATTAAGCTTTGGTGAGCAAATTATGTTTTGTTTTTTACTTAGGTTCCCCGTCTTTGCAGTGGGTACCCTTAGGGAGTATGCCAATGTGTAATGACATTTCTTTCTTTCTTTTTTTTTTTTTTTTTGTGTGTGTGTGTGTGTAATGGCATTTCTAACCTGAGCCTGCTGTGCTGTAAAGATCCCAACATAAAATGTGCAAAGGAAAAGTCTGCAACTAAGAGGACCAGTACAGACTGTGCCATGGTGTCATGTGATGGCATTTCACTTGGAATGTTGGAATATTACAACAAACATGACTTATAAAACAGGATAAGATGAAGTTGCAATGCTGTGGGTATTTGAAGGACGTGGGTAGTTGAATCTGGATCTAGTTGTTGAAACTAAAGGATGCTGTCTAATGCAGATTTTTGTGGAAATTCTTAGGCTCATGCAGCTTAGATTTTGAATGAATTATTCAGTGTTGAGGAAACTCTTGATGCTCAAATGTGTCCCTTGTGACTTTTCTCCATGGGATCGAGGACAGAAACAGGGCAGTGGCTCTGAGTATCTGCTTTGACAAATAGGCGCCTGCCCCTGTTCAGCTCCAGCCACTGTCTTCTGAAGCCTGAGAGACCCTCACAGGCAAGGGCTTTAGCAAGTACACCTGGGGAATGATCACAAGGGAGGAGAAACTAGCCCAAGTGTCTCTCACAGGTGAGGACTTCAACATGGATGCCTAAGAGGGACTAAGGTGTGCCCCCTCAGTTGCATTCAGTGCCCTGGCTGGTCTTGTTTCTTTTTTTTTTTTAATTTTTAATTTTTTTAATTTTTTATATTAATCACAGGTTATTTACTTTGTATCCCAGCCATAGCCCCCTCCCTCATTCCCTCCCAATCCTACCTTTTTTCCCTCATCTCCTCCCTGCCCCTTTCCAAGTCCACTGATAGGGGAAGACCTCCTCCCCTTCCATCTGACCCTAGTTTATCAGGTCTCTTCAGGACTGGCTGCAGTGTCCTCTTCTGTGGCCTAGCAAGGCTGCTCCTCCCTTGGGGACGGGGGTCGAAGAGCCAGCCATTGAGTTCATGTCCGAAATAGTCCCTGTTCCCCTTACTAGAGAACCTACTTGGATACTAAACTACCATGGGCTACATCTGAGCAGGGGTTCTAGGTTATATCCATCCATGGTCCTTGGTTGGAGAAACAGTCTCATGAAAGACCCCTGTGCCCTGATATATTTGGTCCTTGTGGAGCTCCTGTCCTCTCCAGGTCTTACTAACTCCCCCTTCTTTCATATGATCCCCTGCACGAAGGTTTGGTTATGAGTCTTAATATCTGCTTTGATACACTGCTAGGTAGAGTCTTTCAGAGGCCTTCTGTGGTAGGTTCCTGTCCTGTTACTTTTTTTCTCCTACATCCAATGTCCATCCCAGTTGTCTTTCTAAGTGAGGATTGATCATCTTACCCCGGGTCCCCTTTCTTGTTTATCTTCTTTAGGTGTATAGATTTCAGTATATTTATCCTATCTGTATAAGTCTGTATAAGTGAGTATATACCATATGTGTCTTTCTGCTTTTGGGATACCTCACTCAGGATGATCATTTCTAGGTCCCACCATTTGCCTGCAAATTTCATGATTTCCTTGTTTTTAATTGCTGAGTAGTATTCCATTGTGTAAAAGTACCACAATTTCTGTATCCATTCCTCAACTGAGGGACATCTGGGTTGTTTCCAGGTTCTGGCTATTGCGAATAAAGCTGCTACAAACATTGTTGAGCAAATGTCTTTGTTGTGTACTTGAGCATCTTTTGGATATATGCCTAGGAGTGGTATAGCTAACTCTTGAGGTAGCACTATTCCTAATTGTCTAAGAAAGTGCCAGATTGATTTCCAAAGTGGTTATACAAGTTTGCATTCCCACCAGCAATGGAGGAGGGTTGCCCTTTCTCCACAACCTCTCCAGCATGTGTTGTTACTTGTGGTCTCGTTTCTTGACCAGTGCAGGCACCCCTGGTTGTTCAAGGCCCTGTGATTCAGAGTGGCACTATGTTGGCCTCCTCCGGCCACTCAGTCTCTACAGAGATTGCACCATAAACACCACTTTACCTTTCTGGCAGGTGTAAGAATACCCAAGTGGTAGCAGCTTCTCCTGGCCTCCAATATTTCCTGCTTAGAGTATAATTCCACAGGAAACCCCCCACCCAAGGGCACTCAGATATTCAGAGTATTGAAGGCCTTGGTAGGGACACTTTGGACAAACTCCTTAAGGAGGAAGGTTTTTCTACCTGAATCCAGCTTGATGATCATAGCGTGTAGGGCCTGAAAGTGACAAAAAGGAGGCATTTGTAGGGCACCATTATAGTCCAGTGGTTTCCCATAGTGAGCTAAGGTACAAGGCAGACCTGAGGAGCAGGTCTCAGGGCCACCAGTAGAGCCCAAAAGAGGCCTTGAGATGGCAAGCATTCTTCTCAGTTGTCCAGAGCAGCTTTCTCCAGCTTATGGGGCACTTATTTAGTGCTGACTAGAGATTTAAGAGGTATAAAAGTGAGAGAGATGGGGCCTACCCTTATGATGCTTAGGGAATGCTATATAGTGAGTGGAACTTCCCTGTCTTGCAGATTGGGAGGAAGCTTTTTCTGGTTGAAGTATATATCTGAATATACTTCAGTATATAAAAGGGATTTGGGAAGAAAACACAATGATGGGAATATTCTGGGCCACTGTTGGTTCCCATTGAATGACAGTTTTCCAGTGTCCATGGCTAGACTTTCTCATGTTCCCTTAGAGAAACAGGTTGAGACTCAGTCCTGCATAGGTAGGGTCTGCATCATTGTTCATCAGTTGTCGAGAATGGATCTTCAGACATCATCCACCCTTAAGATTAAGGGATTGAAGTCTCAGAGGAGGAAACTGGGGCAGGGCAGAAAGAGGAAACATTGAGGGGGCATAGGAAGAAAAGAAGTTCCTTAATCTGGAGTCTAGTTGGAATCTTGCTAGCCAAGTGTTAAAAATTTTGACAAAATAAGAGTTGCTGTGAAGATTGCTTATATAAAAACAATGTTCTTTTTCTTTTATTTAGAAACATTTGTAAAAAAAGATTTGTAAAATCACCAAAATAATTGTCTTTTATTTTCTAGGTAGTTGTTGTTGGTGTTACATCCCATTAAAAAGTACTGATAGTTACTGCAAAATTTATTGCCGTATATTGGAACAGATGTCTTATTAACATAAGAGAACTTAGGAAGTGAAGTCTTTTTGTGTGTTTTCAACATTTATCAAGTGGCAATCAGAAAATGTTTACTGTGAAGAATAATATTCAACCTGCATAGCCATTTTTGATATGTTTAATAATAATTCTTAACAGGGCTTGTTATAAGTTTGATATGCATAGCATCTCAATGAAATACCATTTAACCTTCAAACCCTTTTAAAAAGTGATGACTACTTGATTTATGTCTATAAAAAAAGGTGTCAGGTAATTAGATTTGGAAAAATAATGCACTAACTAAAGAAACTGAAAATTCATGTTGAGAGTCTTATGTTATACTATAGCTTTGGACCCATCTTTAATTGAGAAACATCCGTATAAAACATTTTTGGGTAAGTATATACATACAAGTATAAAAAGCATTTGAGTAAAATATTGGCTCCCTTTTCTACGATTATCCTTAGAGCCCTTATATTTGGTTCGTCTGTTGTTGTTTACAGTACACACAGTGCTCCATTCGGTGTCCAGGTCTTGTTTCCCATTTCTTACTTCTGTCACCAGCTAAAAAAATTTTCATGCCATTTGAATATAAAAGTTACAAGCCTATGGCCTGTGGTTTAAGTTGCTGTGCTGCTAGAAGGTTGTGCTTTGTCTTTCTAGCCATTTACCTACTTCCTGTGAAAATTAATAGCTCTCTGTAGCATTACCAGGTTTCATCGGAACCAAATTTCTGCCATTAAATTGGTATTAATACATCGAGACGTCAATCAAAATAAAAAAAAATTACTTTCACACAAAAAGAGAAACTTTTCATATGGGAATGTTCCAATAGCAATGAAGAGTCCTAAATGTAATCTTTTTCATTTCCCAGATCTGATCCTGTAACTTTTTCAAAATATCACAAACAAGAGTATAAATGTTGTTAGAGTGAAAACCCATGTTGGAACCTAGTACAGGAAGGATTCCTTCAATCCTTATGCCCGTGGTTTCATTTTTTTTCTGTTTGTAATCCTGTCTAATGGACTTTGGAACTGTCCTGTTATCTCATTTATCAAAAGAATTTCCTCAGAAACCCCTTAAAGCAGTATGCAGGGTTTGAATGAGAATGGCCTCCATGGGTTTATATGTTTGACTACTTGCTCCCTAGTTTGTTGAATTGTTTAGAAAGGATTAGTAAGTGTGGCCTTGTTGGAGGAAGTGTATCACTGGTTGAGCTTTGAGGTTTCAAAAGCCCATGCCATTCTATAAGCTCTCTGTACCTCATGCTTGTGGATCAAGATGTAAGCTCTCTGCTACTGCTCCAGACCATGCCTGCCTGCCTGCCTGCTGTCGTGTTCCCCACCATGTTAGTCATAGACTAACTAACACTGTAGAGCCCTGAGCTCCAAATTGTTTCCTTTTTAAAGTTGTCTTTGTCATGGTGTTTGTCATGGCAACAGAAAAATAACTTAGACACAGTGAAGTAGAGAAGGTATCAAACTCATATGTGGGTTTTGTTAAGACACTTAAGGTGACTTCTCATGAGAAGCTTATGCCTACATTGTAGTGTGTACTGTCATTTTCTAGGCCTGCCTGCCCCCTCTTCCTGTCTCTTCTTTAATGCCCTTGCTTAAATCTGTATTAAAGTTCTTTCTTAATATACTCAAACATTGCTTTAACACACACACACAACACACACACACACACACACACACACACACACACACACACACACACACCGATTAAGAACCCAAACAATGACTTGGTTCAGCAGCTGTGCTGCCATTCCCTTGGGTTGGGTCCCTAGAAAGGGACTTCTTGTACAGATGAGTCTGGGAGGTTCTTCATTAATGTTGGCAAATGCTCCTGAAGATGTGTTATATTGCTGTGCACATCTTTCATTGCTAGCGTGTGGAAGCGTCTTGTAACTTGAAATAAAGGAGAGAAGGGCTGTCATATAGAATGCCATTGCCAATCATGTCATCCCTCGGCTTTGTCTTAGAGCTCATCAGTGAGCGTTGGAACATGGTGTGGTCCTGGAAACACTCTCCTGCATTTTGTAGTTTTGGGCATTGGGCATTTCTTAACTTGAAATTAGAAGGACAGCTAGGTCATGTTGTTGGAAAAACCCCACAAGCCAGATCTTGCACTACTTGACTATGCGTATTAGCCATCTTTTACAGTATCTCAAGGTGCTTTGCTTACACAGGTGTAAAAACCTAATGTTTTTTCTTTGACAGTGACATTTCTGGAGGCAAACCCCTGGAAGTAGAGATGGCAGGGATTGAGTACATGAACGATGATCCTGGGATGGTGGATGTTCTTTATGCCAAAGTCCACATGAAAGATGGCTCCAACAAGTAGGTTTTTAATGTATGCTTATTTGAACTGAGAGGTTCCCAAATGTTTGGGGCCTTCGAGGCTTACAAGGTGTTACCTCAAGCTCATCATCTTTCTGTCTCAGCTCCCAAAGTACTAGGATTACATGTGTGCAACAACAGGCCTGTTCTTTGTTCATTAAAACAAATGTGCTAACATTCAGACAAGAATTGCAGACTGTTAGCTTGAAAGACTCTGGATAGTGAGTATTGATCATAACAGTCGATTTTTTTATGGAAGTGGGTTGTGTGAAGGGGCCAGTCCTGTAGAACCAAAGCTGCAGGATCTCCATGACACAGGACAACAACAGGATATTCAAGAAGAGTCCAAATGAGGATCCAGTATAGCAGAAGCCAGAGGCCTCGAACAAGATCAATGACTCATTACAATGAACATTTGCAAGTAAAGCTGTTTGGTATAAGGGTATACTGTGTGATATACTTGTGACACACTGCAACTTTCATAGTGAGATGTTTCAACTTTTATTCATTTGTTTTTATTGTATCTATTTTTATTTTTTGTTTTCTTTTTAGAGGGAGGTTGCAAGATTAGAGGGTGGATATGGAGATGAGTGGATATGAGATGAGTGGGGGGGCTGTGGTAATTCTAGCACTCCAGAGGCAGAGGTAGGTAAGCAGATCTCTGAGTTCGAGGCCAGCCTGGTCTACAAAGTGAGTTCCAAGACAGCCAGGGCTACACAGAGAAACCCTGTCTCAACAAAAACAAAAACCAAAACAACAAAAACAAAAAACAAAATCAAACAAGAAAACAATGACGATGATGATGAATTCCTCTCAACTGGTTGCTTGCTCTGTCTTTTGACCCAGGGTTAACTTTTTTTAATCCTGTTTATAGAAGGCTCTTAGATAAAGGTGTGTGCTAGGGCTGAGCCACAGCATAACTATGTGTTTGCTATATATAATAAACAGAAAGTTATTAGATTAAAGGTGTGTGTTAGGGCTGAGCAATACCACAACTAAAAACAGGTTTTTCAGGTGCATAATTTCAGGGTTCACAGTGTAATCAAATATCCTGCAATAGCCCTGGGTTTGATTCTCAGTCGTGCACAGTCAAAAAAAAAAAAAAAAAAAAAAAAAAAGACTTGACTCAGGGTAATAGTACATGTCTGTAATTCCAGGACTTAGGAGGTTCAAGCAGAAGGGTTAGGGGTTCATGATCATCCTCAGCTACATAGGAAATTTTAGGATAGCCTGGGCTACATGAATCCTTGTCTTAAAACAGATAAAAATCCTCCCCCCAAAATGAGGAAGAAAATAGTGGTTTGCTAAATTATAAAAGTCTTCTAAATGCTGTTATATTTTATCATGTTGCTAATGTTACTACCAATGTTATTAAAAATTTTTTTTCATTTTTTATTTTTATTAATTACAGTTTATTCACTTTGTATCCCCCCTGAGCTTCCTCCCTCCTCCCCTCCCAATCTCACCTTCCCTCCTGCTTCTCCACCCATGTCCCTCCCCAAGTCCCACTGATAGGGGAGGTCTTCCTCTCTCTTACCTTCTGATCCTAGTCTATCAGGTCTCATCAGAAGTGGCTCCATTGTCTTCCTCTGTGGCCTGGTAAGGCTGCTCCCCGCTCAGGGGAAGGTGATCAAAGAGCAGGCCAATCAGTTCATGTCAGAGACAGTCCCTCTTCCCATTACTATGGAACCCGCTTGGACACTGAACTGCCTTGGGCTACATCTGTGCAGGGGTTCTAGGTTATCTCCATGAATGGTCCTTGGCTGGAGTATCAGTCTCAGAAAAGACACCTGTGCTCAGATGTTTTGGTTCTGTTGCTCTCCTTGTGGAGCTCCTGTCCCCTCCAGGTCTTTCTATTTCCCCCTTCTTTCATAAGATTCCCTGCACTCTGCCCAAAGTTTGGCTGTGAGTCTCAGCATATGTTTTGATATCCTGCTGTGTAGAGAGTCTTCCAGAGGCCCTCTGTGGTAGGTTCCTGTCCTCTTCCCTGTTTTCTCCCTCTTCGATGTCCATCCCATTTGCCTTTCTGAGTGAGGATTGATCATCATACCCAAGGTCCTCCTTCTTGTGTAGGTTCTTTAGGTGTACAGATTTTAGTATGTTTATCCTATATTATATATCTAATATCCACTTATGAGTGAGTGTGTCTTTCTTCTGGGATACCTCACTCAGGATGATCTTTTCAAGTTCCCACCATTTGCCTTCAAATTTCACGATTAACTTGTTTTTTATTGCTGAGTAATATTCCATTGTGTAGATGTACCACAATTTCTGTATCCACTCTTCTATTGAGGGATATCTGGGTTGTTTCTAGCTTCTGGCTATTACAAATAAAGCTGCTACAAACATGGTTGAACAAATGTCCTTGTTGTATACTTGAGCATCTTTTGGGTATATGCCTAGGAGTCATCTAGCTGGATCTTGAGGTAGCACTATTCCTAATTGTCTGAGAAAGCGCCAGATTGATTTCCAAAGTGGTGGTACAAGTTTACATTCCCACCAGCAGTGTAGGAGGGTTCTCCTTTCTCCACATCCTCTCCAGCGTGTATTGTCACTTGAGTTTTTGATCTTAGCCATTCTGATGGGTATAAGGTGAAATCTCCAGGGTCTTTTTGACTTGCATTTCCCTGATGACTAAAGACGTTGAACATTTCTTTAAGTGTTTCTCTGCCATTCGATATTCCTCTATTGAGCATCCTCTGTTTAGCTCTGTACCCCATTTTTTAATTGGATTAAGTGATTTGTTCCTGTTTGACTTCTTGAGTTCTTTATGTATTTTGGATATTAGACCTCTATCAGATATAGGGTTGGTGAAGATCCTTTCCTAATCTGTAGGCAGTCTGTTCGTTCTGATGACAGTGTTTTTTGCTTTACAGAAGATTTTCAGTTTCATGAGGTCCCATTTATTGATTATTGCTCTTAGAGCCTGTGCTGTTGGTGTTCTGTTCAGAAAGTTGTCTCCTGTGCCAGTGAGTTGAAGGCTTTTCCCCAGTTTTTCTTCTAACAGATTGAGTGTGTCTGGTTTTATATTGAGGTCTTTGATCCACTTGGACTTTCGTTTTGTGCAGGGTAGTAAGTATGGATCTATTTGCATTTTTCTACATGTAGACATCCAGTTAGATCAGTACAATTTATTGAAGATGCTATCTTTTTTCCATTGAATGTTTTTGGCCTCTTTATAAAAAATCAGGTGTCCATAGTGTGTAGATTTATTTCAGGGTCTTCCATTCGATTCCATTGATCCACCATTCTGTTTCTATGCCAGTACCATGCAGTTTTTAGTATTGTTGCTTTATAGTACAGCTTGAGATCAGGGATGGAGATACCTCAGAAGATCTTTTATTGTAGAGGATTGTTTTAGCAGTTCTGGGATTCTTATTATTCCGTATGAAGTTGAGAATTTTTCTTTCAAGGTCTGTAAAGAATTGTGTTGGTAATTTGATGGGAATTGCATTGAATCTTTAGATTACTTTTGGTAAGATGGCCATTTTTACTATGTTAATCCTGCCAAGCCAGGAGCATGTGAGATCTTTCCATCTTCTGATATCTTCTTCTAATTCTTTCTTCAGAGGCTGGAAATTTTTTTCATACAAGTCTTTGACTTGCTTGTTTAGGGTCACACCAAGGTACTTTATGTCCTTTGTGGCTATTGTGAAGGGTGTTATTGCCCTAATTTCTTTCTTAGCCCTTTTGTCTTTTGTATACAGGAGGGCTACTGATGTTTTTGAATTAATTTTGTATCCAGCCACTTTGTTGAAGGTGTCAATCAGCTGTAGGAGTTCCCTGGTAGAAATTTTGGGGTCACTCAGGTATACTATCATATCATCTGCAAATAGTGATACTTTGACTTCTTCCTTTCCAATTTGTATCCCCTTGATCTCCTTTAATTGTCTTATTGCTCTAGCAAGGACTTCAAGAACTATGTTGAAAAGAGATGGAGAGAGTGGGCAGCTTTGTTTTGTCCTTGATTTCAGTGGGATTGCTTTAAGTTTCCCTTCGTTTAGTTTGATATTGGCTATAGGCTTGCTGTATATTTATTGCCTTTACTATGTTTAGGTATGTGCCTTGTATCCCTGATCTCTCCAATACTTTAAACATGAATGGATGTTGGATTTTGTCAAATGCTTTTTCGGCATCTCAGGAGATAATTATGTGGTTTTTTCTCCTTCAGTTTGTTTATATGGTGGATCATGTTGATGGATTTCCATATATTGAACCACCCCTGCATGCCTGGGATGAAACCTACTTGGTCGTAGTGGATGATATCTTTGATGTGTCCTTGTATTCAGTTTGCAAGTATTTTGTTGAGTGTTTTTACATCAATGTTCATAAGGGAGATTGTCCTGAAATTCTCTTTTTTTTGTTGGGTCTTTGTGAGGTTTAGGTACCAAGGTGACTGTGGCTTCATAGAATGAGTTTGGTAGTGTTCCTTCTGTTTCTATTTTGTGGAGTAATTTGAAGAGTATTGATGTTAGCTCTTCTTTGGAGGTCTGGTAGAATTCTTCTCTGAAACCATCTGGTCCTGGGCCTTTTTTTTTTTTTTGCATGGGAGACTTCTGATAACCGCTTCTATTTTTCCTTAGGGGATACACGACTATTTAATTGATTTACCTGGTCTTGATTCAGCTTTGGCAAGTAGAATCGATCCTTTTCAAATTTTGTGGCATTTAGGCTTTTGAAGTAACACCTAATGATTGTTTGGATTTCTTCAGTGTCTGTTTTTATGTCCCCCTTTTCATTTCTGATTTTGTTGATTTGGATAGTGGCTCTCTGCCTTTTAGTTAGTTTGGCTAAAGGTTTGTCTATCTTGTTGATTTTCTCAAAGACCCAACTCTTGGTTTCATTGATTCTTTGAATTGTTTTATTTGTCTCTAATTTATTGATTACAGCCCTGAGTTTGTTTATTTCCAGCCATCTGCTCCTTTTTCGTGTGTCTGCTTCTTTTTTTTTTTCCTAGTTCTTTTAGGTGAGCCATTAATTTGCTTGAACGAGATGTTTCG